CTGAGACTCTACCTAAGAAAGAAAAGAAAAGAAAAGAAAAGAAAAGAGAGAGGAAGGGAGAGAAGAAAGAAAGAAAGAAAGAAAGAAAGAAAGAAAGAAAGAAAGAAAGAAAGAAAGAAAGAAAGAAAGAAAGAAAAGAGAAAGGTAAAGAAATCGGGAGAGAGAGGGAGGGAGGGAAAGAGGAAGGAAGCTAAGAGGCTCAGCCAACAAGAAATATCATGAACATCTTCAGTAGGTGCAGCTCAATGAATCATCCTTAGTTGTAATCTATTAGTTGCAATACTACTAATAATTATAACCTACTGTTTGTCATGACTGTATTAACACCTATAATCCTGTGGGCCAGGATGATTACCCCATTTTTTTTTCAGATGAGGAAGCTAAAGTACTGAGGGATTATGTATCTTGTGTAAGATCCATTAGGTAGGAAATGTTGAGGTGAAATTATAATCAGCCCAGTGTTACTCACACTGATTTTCACCTGCCATTTTGTTTGCTACTCAACCAATTAATGGATCTTTAGTGATTTCTCTTTGATTTGCTGTTTGTGTTTAGATATAAGATGGACATTAACTATCCCTGCATTTATGTCTTGTGGTGTGAGCTGTCAGTTGCTGTGTCATCAGAAAATTCATCTTAATGTTAGCTATTCTAAGTTACAATATTCAGGGGAATACGTGTTCCTAAGTGCCATGAGGGTCTTATTGCTACTGTAGGTTGTTTTGTTGACAATTTTATACATGTATACAATGTTTGGGAGACAATTCTAATATGCAGAATTCTTGACTATGTTGTAGGTCACAGTGACCCTGCCATTCTTAGGTTACTGTATTTTATAATGCAAGAGGAGAGCAGAGAGCACTTGGATTGGTGTTGTGGGGTGCATGGGTCCATTTTAGGTCCAGGTCCCAGCTGTATTAGAAGTGCTGACCTACAAATATGTTGATCAAAGCACAATGGAAAGAGGTGTAAAGAAAATGGATTAAAATAAAAAAAATCTTATGCATTAGGCATTCATTTGTGTGTGTGTGTGTGTGTGTGTGTGTGTGTGTGTGTGTGTGTATTTAAAAAGAACAGTCAATTTTATACCAGAAGAATAGCGAAGCATGTGGGATAGTGTGTTGGCTTTGGTAGAACTTGGGTAATAATATACAGCAATTCTTTATAGTGTCTTTGAAACTTTTCAACGTGTCAAATTATTTCAAAACAAAAGTTGAAAAATAGTTTTGAAGAAGAAGGACGGGAGAGGACCAAGCAGTTCTGCTTCCTATCCCAGACAGCCAGATGTGAGGTCTACAGTGAAGGGGTTGCCTGGAGAAGTTGAATGTGGAGCCTTTCCATGCATGGTCCTGGGATCAGAGCTGCTTTGAGGTCTTGGAAACATTGTAAGCCGAAGTTTGGGAATAGGTATGTTGTCTTCTTACCTCCTTCACCCTCTCTCATTTCTTCTGCTAAGCTGACTTCTGTTAGGAATTTGGTGTGTCAGCAGGCCATGTTTTTCTACATCTTCCTCTATATACATGCATAAGAGTAGTTGTAAATTCACTGAAATTATGAACTCTTAATGAAGACAGGAGAAACATGGTCTGGCTTAAGCCAAGGAATGTAGGCTGCGGAAATCTCTCACTAGGGATATTTTTAAGATTTAGGAACTCCCTTGGAAATAGAGTGAATGCCACAGAAAGTGATTTACATATTTAAAAGCCACGTTGTACATTTGTTTTGTGTTTGGCTAAAGGAGATCTGACTTGCATGTGTTGCTGACTTATCTGTTCTCAGGGACCAGAAGAAAACTATGATCTTTATCTCAACACATTTTATTTATTATTTCCCAAGGGAATGGAAGATCTTCCCAACTGCATAGAGACGGTAGGGAGGCCATGTTTGTTGAGGGGGGGGGGAGAATGTATGCTCTGTGACTTCTGATAGAATGACAAAAATCTGAGAGTGGCATTAGTTCCTAGTGCAGGTTGTAAAAGTGAGAGGAGAGTTGAAGGAAGGAAGAAAGACCTGAAAATTGCACAGGGGAGAGCCCTTGGCTGATACAATCCTGCTTTTACCAAAGGAATAATTTGAACAGAATGTTTCTAAAGCTGTGTGGTGGTGCACACCTTTATTCCCAGCATTCAGGGAGGCAGAGACAAGCAGATCTCTGTGAGTTCAAGGCTAGCCTGGTCTACAAAGCTAGTCCAAGACACCCAAGGCTACACAGAGAAACCCTGTCTTGAAAAACCTTTAAAAAACAACAACAAAAATGTTTCTTCTTAAACCTGTAGTATGAACTCATTTATACTATTTGACATTTATTTTCTTTTTGGACACCCTACGAAATGGTGTTCCCTGGAAATGAAACCAAGATTAATAGGGCTTATGGGTAGGTATTTTGCTACAAAGAAGAGAAAAGGGAGATTGATCTACAGTTCCTGTTCCACTAGCTCTAATGCTCTGTGCCTTCTACCTAGCAGCATAAACTGTGTTAAAACTGAGCAAAGACTGTATATCCTAAGAGAGTATTTTAACAGAGAGAAAAACAGGTGAACGAACATAGAACACTCACCTGACAGCTCCTTGAGCACACTCTCTGTTCTTCTGGGCTTTGTTATAAAGGATTTTTAAAGGAAGAATAAACAGACCCAAGTGATTATTACAGATAGGGATCTGTTTGGAGAGTGAAGAAGAAAGTGAAGGATAAAGCTTTTCACAGTTCTAGAAATAGTTTCCTTTCACCTGCCTTAAAACTGTGAAGAAAGGACTGACTATGTGGACAAAACCAGATTCATGACAATGGAACACTTTGCAGTCTCCTAAGGATGAGTTACTGCCCCATGTTTTGACACAGAAAAAACACAACATTGAGTTTCTCCTACTTTTGAAGCAAATACTAAATACACAAAAGAAAAAGTTCTAAAGTACAAATACCAAATTACTCACCTTTTATGTCAGAGTAGATAAGATTTATAGAAAGATTTCCAGTTTAGATGGCCCATGCTTTGGTATTCTTAAAACAATGTGTTACTTTTTTTCTCAAGATAAACAAGAAATAGAGCCATTTGCACTTAGCAAAAGAAATGTTAACCATTTTCTATCCAAACATTTTTTAAGCTGAAAGAAAGGATTTATTTGTAGGATAGAATTCTAAATTAAGCTAAGGAGAAATAGAAAACCTGATCATCCATTAAAGATACAAAGCCAGGCTGTGTACACTGGAATGTGGCTGTAGATTATGGGCATGTGTTTTCAGCATCTATGAGGGATTTTCTGCACTCACATTGTCCCACTTGAATACAAGTGGTTGTACCCTCTTGACATTTGCATCTATGCCCACAACACAAAATCAATGATAGTGGCTCAATAAATGGTGGGAGAGTAAATGAAGGAGAGAACAAAATGGCATTACTTTCAGATAGATTAGATTCATTCTTGTGAAATCTTAGGAAAAGCCAGATATAGTGGTATGTGTTTGAAATGCCAGCACTGGGGAAGAAGAGGCACACAGATCCCTGGGGCTTGCTGGCCAGCCACCCAAGTCTTATCTGTGAGCCCTAGGTCCCAGTGAAAGACCCAACCTCATCAAAGTGGATGGCTCCTGAGGAAGGATACCTAAGGTTGACCTCTGGTCTTCATGTGTATGAGCATACACGTGCACCTTCATGAGTCACAGTATTCTTTTCTTTGAAAACATATGAAGACAATTCCAAGAATCACACAGGCCATCTAAAACCTGTTAATCACCAAGAAATTTTAGATTTTTGTTTTTAGGAAGCAAGTGAAGTACTAAATGCAAGCACATTATTGACGAAAGCACAGCCATGTCAAGGACGCCAATACAGCAGCATGGCAGTGACAAAGCCTTCCTTGGGTAAGGCTCAGAGGGATGGCAAAGCTCTTCTCTGGTTCAGAGTTTGTGCAGAAAATATCCAGCATAACTTCCATGTCCCCCTGGGTTGTTTCCAGCCTGAAGAGCTCTTCCCTACAGAGACTGCCCCTACTGAGGTTAGCTAATCCTGCTTCCCTGCTCAGTTGTATGCAATAACTGTGCCTCCTGTTCAACTGTATATAACAAAGATGCTAAGCTTCCAGTGTGCTGCAGGTTCTCTAAGAGCCCTGACCACCCAATCCCATATAAGCATATTCTCTCTCATTCATTCTCTCTCTCTCTTTCTCTCATTACTTCGTTGATGACCCAATTTGGTCAGTCTCTAGAGGCCACCAGGATGTGGCACACATTCTTAATGTGTGCATGCTCTTATAATAAATATAAAAGAGAATGTGTTCACTGAAAATTAGAACTCAACTAAAAAAACTGCACTAGATTCATTATTCAAACTTCACCCAACTTGGAAGTACAACAAACTGAACATGAAGCTAGACTGGAGTGCCATAGCTTATAACATGGTGATAGAACTACAAGAAACAATTTGTGGACTGGAGAATGGCTCGCTGGTTCACAGTACTTATTGCTCTATCAGATGAGTATAATTCAGATCCCTTCAGCCAGTCCATAAATTCTTATGGTAACTCCCATCTCCAGGGGTTGTGATGCCCCCTTCTGACCTTGTGGGCAGCTGACAAACACACACACACATTAAAAAAAATAAAACAAATGTGTTATTATAATTTGGGACAAATAGATATATTGCCAAAGTAAACTGTAAAGTGCCTACTTTGGGTGGCCCTTAGATCACAAGAACTCTTAAGTCCTTTAGGTATAGAAGTATGTTTGTAAAAAATAAAAATAAAAAAGAGGTATGTTTGTGCATGCTTGTATGAATGTGTATGTGAGAAAGAAAAGATGCAAATATACAATATATGTAATAAAAAGCTTACAGATCTAAAGTCTTAAAACATTTTCTAAAAAAAATTCATCCTCATCTTTTTCTTTTGTTGCTGTTATATATGTTTATATCATATTTATAATGGAAGCAAAATTCATATGCAATAAATATCTATAAATTGATATTATACATACTGATACTGTAATATCTCTGGCTCTTTTCCAGGGTGGACAAGCTTTGTTTATGCCATCTCTGGATATGTATATATTAGTGAGTAAAGAGTATGCCATTTGGGGTTTAATTGCAGATTAATTCAAACTACTGAAAGGATAAGGATAAACTACCCAAACGATTATATGTAATTGAATGGTACGCCTTCTTTCTTCCCACACCAAACTGGAGCAGTGTGCCTTACAGCTTCCGGAATGTTCAGTAACAGAGAACAACATGAGTCCAGGCAAAAGGTACAGGCATGATTGTGTGTGTTAAATCTAAGAGGTTAACAGTTTCCATAACCATAAAGAGGTAGAGCTCCAGTAGGCTCCAATGAGAGCAGCTGTCTGTTTTTTTAACAAGTTAAATATTTCAGGTATCTCACTTTTTTTAATCTAAAGGTTGTATGCTGTTGTTTGTAGAGAAATGCATATTTAAGAACAAAGCAACTCTCATTTTATAAATGAGCAGTGAGATATCTAATAAAAGTTATTTATGCCAAGGTTTCACATCTGCATAACTGAAGCAAGAACCAAGCAATGGTGGCATGAAAGACAATGGCCCCCACAGGCTTTGTCATTTGAATTCTTGGTCCCCAGCTAGTGTCTCTGTTTGGGGATGTTTGGGATGTATGACCTTGTTGAAGAGGTGTGTCACTAAAAGTAGGCTTTGAGAGTCTAAAGAATCTCGTCTCACCATTGCTAGTTCTTGCTCTTTGATTCCTGCTTGATGTTCAAGATGTAAGTTTTCATCATCCAACTGCAGCCACCATGCTTTGCTTGCTGCAATACTTCCCCACCATGAGAAAATCGTATCCCTAAGGAACCATAAGCCAAGTAAACCCTTCCTTCTATAAGCTGCCTTTGTGGTTTTTTTAAATCACAGCAATAGAAAAGTAACTAATATACAAGTGTTCCTCAATATCAGTTTCCATGTCCTACCTACACACTATTCAGTTACAATGTAGAGTTCAGACCAGGTTGTGTTTTTAAGCGTAGCCAATCCTGTTGTGCTCATTTTAAAACTCTATTTTATTTGGAGTATTTATGCCCCTACCTCCCTTCAACCAACCCCCTAACCCTAGGTAGAAGAGAGGTTATAGGGGAGAAAGAACGCAGACCCCTTTACTTATCTCGGCTGCTTAGGGTAGATGGCTTCTTTTAGGCCTATACCAATGTCCATCAACAGCAAATACATCCAGCAGTCTCGTCCAAGCCACTGTGCCCCAAAGTGTTTCTTTCTGTCTGTCTGCTCTAAACTGCCACACCGACCATCCCTGGTCTCTCTAAACTTCCACTTACCACACTCCACCACTGCATGCCACACTGTCTGGGTTCTCATATCTATATTTTCAGAGCCCTAGACCATGCCCCTTTTCTATGCCCCAAGAGACAGAAGCAGGCAGTTACAAGCTATCAAAGACCATGCCCCTCACAGGACAATTAAAAGCTGTGGACAAAACTAAAGCCTAACTAAACTCCCACACTTAGGATTAAAACAAAAAACATTTACGTAACACAACTGAGCTTTTAAAGAAACCAAAACTTCCATTATACAGTAGCAGAAGAAGCAGAAACTACATGATAGAAGGACATGCAGAGCAGGTTACATCTGTTTGTATCCACCCCAACTATTCCCATCTTCTTGAAAACAGGAAAATGTTCTTTTTGTGGATGACAGCAAATGGTTCAGCTGCAGCATATGGTAAGAATGTCCCACTTAAACCCCACAAGGCCTTGCTTCTTCAGTATCTGCTGACCAGCTTCCAACTGCCAGCGTCTCTGCCACTTTTTCTGAAACTTGGAAAGATTGCTCTGTTCTAGTCAGAAAGGACAAAGGCACTGGCCATTAACTTTCTGGAAGTTCACTAGCTCCTTGAATAAGCTATGTCAGAACCCATTCCTGAATTTCCTACTGGGGTTATATATTCAAGCTTTTCACAGTTGGAGTGTATGATCAGGTACCTGTCCTTGCTGTGGTGGTTTGAATGGGAATGGCCCCTATAGGCTCATATGTTTGAATAGTAGGTCCCCAGTTGATGGAGCAGTTTAGGAAGGATTATGAAGCATGGACTTGTGGGAGGAGGTGTGTCTCTGTGGGTTAGCTTTAAGGTTTTAAAAGGCTAATGCTATTCCAAAAGTGCCCTCTACCTTCTTCTTGTAGATCATGATGTGAGTTCTCAGCTGTCCTTACTGCCATGCTTTAACCCTTTGAAATCATATTCTCAATCAAGCTCCCTTTATTTTTTTTTCTGTTTTCTTTTAAATTTATTTATTTATTCACTTTACATCCTGATCATAATCTTCTCTCTCTTCTCCTCCTGGTCCCACCCTCCCTACCGCTTCCTTCTACTACCCCCTATTCCACAGAAAAGGGGTGCTCCTTCCACCAACCCACCCCAACTTATCAAGTCACATCAGGACTGAGCACATCCTCCACTCTCTTGGCTTGGCAGAGCAGCCCTGCCAAATGGAATTAGTTGAAAAGAAGGCAACAGAGTCCTTGTAAGAGACAGCCCCTGCTCCCCTTACTAGGAAATCCATATAAAGACTAAACTGCCCATAGATTATATCTTTGTAGGGGGGCTAGGTCCAGTCCATGCATGGTCTTTGGTTGGTGCTACAGTCTCTGCAAGCCCCCCTGTGCTCCGGTTAGTTGGCTCTGTTGGTGTTCTTGTGGAATTTTTGTACCTTCTGTGTTCTTCTATCCTTCCCCTGCTCTTCCACAAGATCTTCTGTGTTCCACCCAGTGTTTGGCTGTGAGTCTCAGCATCTATTTCAATCTGCTGCTGAACACTTTCATAAGATGTCTTGGTCATGATGTTTTGTCATAGCAAGAGAAAGGTAACGACTGAACTTTCTTTCCCCCTATAGCTCTGCTCATATCTGGACTGCTGTTCCCTGGTATTATCTCTTGAATCAACTCCTTATACCAGAATGTTCATTTGAGTTGTGCTTCAGAAAGAAGCTAAACATTTCCTTCGCTTCCTATCCATCCACCACAAGGAGTAAAATGGATGTGTGTGTGTGTGTGTGTGTGTGTGTGTGTGTGTGTGTGGCATCTCAAGATGTAGGCCACAATTCTCCATTTCTGAGACTGTCTGGCGTTGGAAGCTCTCTACCACACTCCTGTGGGGTTCCCAGCAGGGCACTTCCTTTTTGGGAAATAACATTCTTAATTTGCAGGGAGCCATCCTCATTGAGAAATATAGTCTTAATTTGTAGACAGATGGCTTGTTAATGGCATCTACACAGGGTGTGATACCATATCCTGAGTGATTTATTTCAACCATTCCTTATATTCTGAAAAACAAATAAGGTGTTCAAGTCACTTGACTCGTCTGGAAAAAACAGTAATTTGAATTTATTAATAATGTGACATAATTGGGTTTGCTTCCTTTTTCACTGAATGGGATTTTAATTACCAGCCTTCAACAAAATTCACTTATTTTATCATTCAAAAGAGTAAAGATTCAAGTTGAAAAAAAAAATACAAACCTCCAGCAGTACTGTACTAATGTGCTGTGTGTGCACAGTGAAATGTTTTAACTGTCTGGGAGGAATGAGAGAATATATCCAGAGATTCATATACTATCTTATAAAAATAGTAAGAGAAATATCTTTTGGAGATCTCACACTTGACTTAGGATTTTAAGATAAAAAAGATCTGCAGATATGGAATAAGGAAGGGCATAATTTTAAGGTGTTAAAGATTCCATAAATGTTTATTATTATAAGAAAAAGTTAGAGGGGGCACCAAACTTTATGGAAAGGGCCAGAGAACAAATATTTTTGTCTCTGGGACTACTGTGAAATGTTCATGTAGCATGAAAACAGCCATGGACGATACATAAATATATGGGGTGAATGTTGCAATCCAAGTTTTTGTGAACTTCATGTATTTTCCATGTATCCTAACTATTATTTTTAATTCTTTGCCATTTTTTTAAGTGAAAACCTTTCTTAGCCTCTTGACTCTGCAAAAGTTCACAAATGATTTTGTCTTAAACGGCATTAAAGAGAGGATGAAGGGTAGAAAGCTTGATAAGTAATCTGCAAAGCCTCTTTGATCCAGTGTTTACAGCTTTATTAGAAATAAGACAGACTTTTAGCCCCAGACCTCAATAAGTGAAGAGTTTGGAAACTCTAGGCCAACACTTCCACTTGTTTTTCTTGACATAAGGTGAAATTGTCTTGAGTCATTTCTTCTCACTGGGTTATTCCCCCACCTCTATGACAATGGTCCACATGTACAAAACGTCTGGCAGAAGATGGTGTTGTTGTCTCTAGCCTCTGAGTGAAGTTGTGTGTGTCCAAAGTAAACTGGACCATGGACAGACTCCAGCTCCCCAAACTGGCCTCTGAGGATTCTTGCTCAGCTAATGAGCAACAGGAAAAATGACTTCATTTGAATCTGACCTCTTTGCTTTGCTCCTCTACACCCCATGAGATTGGAAATGAGAAAAACAAGAGCACAACAGCACATCACTGCAGAAAAAGAAATGAATAGAAATAGCTGTTTAAAATGTCGTAACATAGCGAGAACCCAGAAAATGCTTCCCAACTTTAGTACCTCAACTTTATCATGCTTATAAACATGAATGGCACTACTCAACCCCCAGATGGCAGGAACTGATAAGCAAGTCATTCTCTTTTATACAATATTAAACACCCGTTGTTCAGTTAATGAAATGTCAACATATGTAGGTAGTATATTGAGATAGAACAAAAAGCCACAATTTGGATGGCAAAAGTAATTTTGAAAGACTGCATAAAATAAAGATTTAAGAGTGCTATTAATTGTAGAACAAAGGCATAGAGAGAGAAGAGGAGGATGTGAGTAGTGGAATGTGAGGGAAATATATGTAAGGTACATTATAAACTTACTTGAAATGGACTTGTGTAAGGAAATAACAATAAGATCGTTAAAATGTGTGTTTTGTGTTATATGTGGGTGTGGTATATGTGATGTATGTATTTGTTAGTGTGGATATGTTCACATGTGTGTAGGCTCACATGTAGGTCAGCATCAAGTTGCTTCCTCAGTTAGCCCCCACC